AAATAATCATTTAAATATGTTTTGTTAAGGTTTTAAAAATTATGTGATTATTTAATGCATTATTTTGTATTATGCCTTTTTGAAAATTAATAGCCATATTTGTTTTGAAATAATCTTTTAATAATCAACTTCAGAGTTTTCTGTTCAGGAATGTAAATGTTAACAATATTTTTCTCTAAAAATAATGCTCACTTTCTCTAAATTTATGTTTTTAAAATTTTAATTTTTATTCAAGTCATTCTCTCTCTGTCTCTCTCTGTGTGTCTCTGTCTCTGTCTCTGTCTCTCTCTCTCTCTCTCTCTGTGTAGGCCAAAAAAGGTATTGCCGTATCCCTTGGAGCTGGAGTTAAAGGGAGTTGTGAACTGACCAATGTGAGTGCTGGGAGCCAGCCCTCTAATCGAGTAATAAATATGCTTTACCACTGAGCAATCTTTCTAGCCCCATTATACCCATAATTTTAGTTAATGGAGGTTTAACTGAATTTGAGTATTAGTAATAAAGAGTTTTATGTTTCATAATCTTTTGAATGATTTTGGTTCTTCTTGTAAAAATATACTACTGTCAAACTACTTGTTCTCTAGTTTAAAAATAGTAATTTAAAATTATCAAATAGTATTCTTATGATCTTATGTTGAATTAGGCTTCTAAAGTTCTTATAATTTGTGTTGAGTATAGCTGTATTTAGATATAACTTATTTTTCCATAAAGTAACTATTATAATAATTTTGGTTAAGTTGGCTTAAGCCAAAAGTGGAATTAGCTTCTTGGTCTTCCTATGGTAAGGTAAAAGAAAAAGCAATTTGAAAACTGTAGATCTTTATCACAGTCTTCATATAGAAAACTAACAGGCAGTTTAGTGGAATGAGACATCAGGCTTTGCTTTATGGAAGAGAAAGCATTTCAGAATGGAAGATCCCAGTAAGCATCAGGTGAATCCAGCTTGGTATAAGCTTGTAAAGTTCTGCTTGAGGAGTGATTGAGGAGGTCAGATTATTAAACTGATTAATTTGGCATATACATTGTATGTGCTAAAAAGAATCCAACTGTGAATTTGAGTGCATTAAATAATTTTCAGGAAGTTCCCCAAAGGACATTTGAATGCTTTGAAACTTGCAATAAGGCATGTTTGTTCCAAACACACTTGATTTGCCTAGGTTTGCCCATCAGCTTGAAAAAATGCTAATTTGTTGCATTCAGCAGCTGGGTTTTGCAATATTCTTCTCCTCCTCCTAGGGGCTAATTAACCTTCTTTCAAAATGTGGCCTATTTAGCCTTAGATTCTCATGACTCATCCAGAGCTGGCTGTACAAAGCAGAACCCTTTAGCAGGTGGGTGTGTCCAACTGCTTAATTAGCCAGAATAAAAAGGCCCTTTGTCAAACAAGCATCTGTTGCTCACGACACACCTGACAGTCACATTAGCCAAGGATGACTAGACGGAAATTGTGCATGTCTCTCCTGTAAGAATATACAAGTCATTTACATGTGGGCTGCATCAGAGGCAAACTGCAGGGGGCTGTTTAGCTTATCAAAATAGACTAATGTGACTGCACTTGTGATTGATAAACAAATATCACTTAACAGGCACCAAAGGGACAAAACTAACCAAATTACCCCCAGACATAAACAAAGTCTCAGAAACTTCTCCTGGCGAATGAGAGTGCTGTATAAGCACCGAACTGTTGTTCAGCTCCCTACGGTAGCAGGTTCTGGGCACTGCCCTCCGGGGATAAACTTCACTTTGCACAAATGTTGGGGATTCCCCAGAATATTTTTAGTATGTCAGTATGTCTTACAAACTTTGTGCAGATGATTATACTCTTTCAATATGCTTTACATTGTCACTGTTTTGCATTAAGATTAGATCTTCAGAATCAGTGACTGTAAAGTGGCTCTGGACAAACATTTATTAGCTGGGAATTAGTATCACACAGAACTAGAGTGAATTCAGATTCTTCCTCTTTCTGGCTGCATGCTTTTAGCAATTTTTAAAATCCATCCAGGTCTATTTCCACACTTGTTTGATAAGGGTAACATCCGCATCGTGGTCTTCCTTTGAAAATTAAACTGCCAGTTGTATTTAACGCAGTTTAAGTAGACTGGCTTTTAGCATAAGGAAAAGACATAGTAAATGATAGACCAAATTGCCATTCAAGGCAGTTTATGGAAGTCAGGAGGCTGCTAGACAGTCCCTTCTTCAGGGCTGATGGAGGGAGTGGGATTATGGAGGAGTGAAAGTGTCTGTCAGATGGTCTTGACTGATGCTCAAGGTTTAAGAACACTGGCTGTTCTTACAGAGGATGTTCCCAGCCTCCACATGGTGGCCCACTGCCATCCATAAATCCAGTCCCAGTGGATACAAAACCCTCTTTGGACCTCCTTGAGAACCAGACATATATTTGACATCAGATAGACATACATGCAAAACACTCATACACACAAATCTAATATTTCTTTAAAAGACTAGTCAAATGAACAGAAATTAGAATTAGCAGAAAGTATTCTGGGTTTGATCAATACTTGGGCACACTAGATTGGGCTCTTTGTGCCAGTTTTGATTTTGAATAGACAGCTGGAGCCCGAATAGAACGTTCTCTCCTGGTCTTCAGCTTTGAATTAAAAGCAGTCATTTCCCAGTACTTATTTAGTTTACTGTTGTTGAATAGTTGACATATTTTTGCTTCCTTTATTGTTTCTTCATTCTAGAATGTTACCACTCTGTTAGTCTCATTATATTTACCTGTATACTACGTATTATTAAACTCACCGCCCAATGTATCCTGCGAAGTTAAGAGCATGAACTTTATTCTGACATCACATCCTTCTTTTCTATGTATGTGTAAGTGATGAGTGATTTGACATCCCAAGCCACAAACTACTCTCCTATAAAATAAGAACATCATAGTTTTAATCATTAGCGCAGAATACTGGCACATAAGCTGGTCCTGGCAAAGCTTCCCGCTAGCTCTGTGGTAAACAAGAGGGAGTATTAGCATAAAAGACTTCACTGTGGGAACCCACATTCTACTGATGGGGCAGAGTAAAGGAGAAGGACTAGTTGGCTACACGTGGCTTCTGTATGTGTTCATCAAACAAAGGTCTGCTGCTCACCTTGGAGCTTATGGGACTGAAAACCTTTGTAGCAGATGCTGTCCAGTATCTGGTCCATTACTTGTTCCTTGCACAGAAGCAAGCCTTACATACATATTTATCTCCTTTGTTGTAGCACAAAATGTAATCAATACTCTGTATACTTAATAAATCAGAGGACCTGAAAGGTTTTGCTTTCATTTTTGGATTGCTGTTTTTCTCCCTATTTGTCATGGAAGAAAAAAAAAAAAAAAGAAAAGAAAAGATACGGTTCCTAATTTATCTATTCTTTAAAGAAAGGATAATTTTGAAGGGAATGGCCAGTGCTGAGATTTGCCCTAGGGACAATTAAGCACTCTTTCACTGCACAGTAACCTGGCTTTGGAGCGTTAGTGTCTTCTATCACCCTAATCAAACAAGAATTTTGTGTAGTGAATGATGTCATTCTCATTTATCTCAGGTATCTCCATGGTTATAATGCTAGTCCAGATGCACATTTATCTAACACACTTGTTACATTTAATAGACCCACAGTTTGTAATATTGCACATAAAAATCTTGATTTTTCAGCTTCTTTTGAAAAAAAAAATCATAATAGTTTTCTGCAGGTTCGCTTCCCATGTATCCAGAAAATCCTGGAGCTGAATGTTAGCCCATCTGTGCAAATGATGCTATAGCCTCAGTCTTAACCTTTCACCCACCTTTCCGTCCTCGGTATAACTCAATTAAAAGCGAAATATTGTTTCATGGATTAATATATTTTTGAGTAAATGTATTCATGAAAAACACTTGGAAGAGCCCTTTACGTGTCTCGAACAGTTGGTGGCAGCTATCACTTCCAGAAAGAGATTTGTGTAGCTTAGACTTAGACCAAGAAAGCGATAAGAAAGTCACACATGACCTACAGAAGAGCCAGTATGAAACTCTAGAGAGCATCACTGATGTTAAAACAAAAAGCACAGCCGCAGCTCTTTTCTTGCCACGTTGACTATGTTTCTTAACATCTTTGGACATTTTGCATTTATAAAATAAGCACGGATTTGTTATTTTCCAAGGTCTATTTCTAAAACTGTTGTGGAAAAAAGAATTAGATTGATCACATTGTGATAAAGATTTTGATTAGAATTAATTTTCTCCTCCAAAGAACCGAATAGTTGAGAATTTAATTTTCTTAAGCAACATAAATGCTCACGGTGTTCTTTACTGGTTTAAACTGTAATATATTACTTTTCATAGGCTACGAATTAAATAGTGTATCCTACCTTTATCCACATATAAGAAAGTTCACATTTATTTTTTATTGAATTTGTAAGTGGCAAAAGAAGACATCAAGCTGTGGAAACCTAAGAAAATTAGAAAATGTGATCCTGTGGCTGAATTTAGAGTATATTAGTACATATATATGTGTATGTATATATATATATATACATATAAAACATTTGAATAATTACTTTATAATTTAGAAATGATTTAGTCTATATTATGCTTCTTTATTGTCACCTGATAGCCTCAAAAAGTGTCTGGAAATTATAGTACATTGCATGAGCATCTATTTCAGATTGAGTAGCTTTAATATTTAAGTCCATAGTCCATTAAAGAATTGAAATACTTTTAACTATTGGGATCAAAGAACAATAGCTTTTAGTGAAGTTCTACCTCTTTAGTCTCAGGTCAAGAGGTACTAACAAAGCCTTTTATAAAAGTAAATATTATAATTTATTTATATTCTTTTTAGTTAATTAAAAACTGATCAAAGTGACTAAAACATGCATGAGTTATTACGACAGTATTATGACAGTGTTGGACCGAGTGGTATTATATATTTGGAAGCCTCAGTTTTAAATATTAAGAACGCTGCAATGAAGCTTATAATGCAAGGGCAACATTATTAACTGTTTTTGTATATTCCAGAGACCATCATGCAGACCTCAGAGACGGGTGCAGACACAGGTTCGACAGTGACTCTGCAGACATCTGTGGCTAGCCAAGCAGCGGTGCCTACCCAGGTGGTACAGCAGGTGCCAGTCCAGCAGCAGGTAAGGACCATGGCATCCAGACAGGTGGTGTTCCTTCTGTCGTCTAAGGAAGCTGACTTTATCGTCATGAGGAATTTACTGTCTTGCTTCCTGGAGGATGGAGATGGGCATAGTACCCTTCTAGGTCAGCTCGGCAAACATTTCTTGGGTATTTCCCGGGTATACCAGGTCCTTTTCCTGTTGAACTGCAGAGCTAATGGGGCATATGTTCAGACCATATTCCTCTTCGAGGAGTTTCTGTCTCTTAAAAGGATGTGACTTTTCTGACCTGTCCACCTGTTTTCTCCTCTTTTCTTCCCACTGTTTACTAGAACTTCCAACTGATGGTATTTTTTACATAGCTTGAGAGTTGTACTTAATAGTGGAAAGAATAATATACTTTATCGGCAAGGATTTTGCCTTTGTGGTGCTTTAGAAATTGCCTTGGCACTAGTTGGCTGTTAAATACTATTTAATGAAAATAAAATTATCTTAAAGGTCTGGAGATCTGACTCATCCCATTTAAAGAAGAGCAGAAGAATTAATCACCAGATGCTTAGTACAGGTCTTATTCACGCTTAGGGAATTTGGCTTGTTTTGGAAAGATACTGACAAAGTAATGTTATCCATGCCAATGAACAGTGTGTGGATTGTGAGCACACTGGCATGTCATTTTTAACCCAAATAGTGGTAAGAACCTGCGTGTTTCAGTATACTAGTTATGTTTGTCTTTCTTTGTAATTTATTCCTTCCTTCCTTTCTCCCTCACTACCCCTCTCTCCTTTTTTTTTCACTACTACTAAAAAGTAACTTCCACAAATAGTGCCTTGAAAGCCACTGGGATTACCGACACCATTACCAACTTCACAATTTAACACTGTTCAGAGAAGCAGGGCTTGCTCCAAAGGATATTGAGACCCTGGCCCGCATTTCTGACTTTAGAAAGCTGACGCTAATCTGTTACTATTAAGCAATTGCTGAGCAAGTCAGCTCTCTGGTTAAGTTTTAGTCTTACCCATGGAAAAATGGCTGTTCAAGTTAGTATAGAGCGTGCCAGAGGTTCCTAGTTCCTCTTGAGATAGTGGCAGGTCTGTAGTATATGTCTTACCTTCTGCCCTTGTCTTTGCTTTTTACCTATCTTCTTTCCTTTGTTTTTTGTTTTCAGAGACAGTTTTTTTTCTTTTATTAAACTTGTATATTCTTACTACAGTTTATAAAGAGTTTACATTATAGAGAAAAGAATCCAATAATTTAGTGAGATTGCTGCTTAAATAAATGTAGCAAAACTTAGCCTCCCTCTTTTTGCATGTAGAATCCATCTCTAAAGGTTGCTTTATTCCTCTTAACTCATTGTTTTGTATGTTCTTCCATGGGGTTTAAACAGAGCTTATTCTTACTACTTTGCTATGTCTTGAATTTTTTTGTGTTTAGCATTATGTTAAGCTGCTTCATTTGGATATGCAATATATGATTTCTCTCTCTCTCTCTCTCTCTCTCACACACACACACACACACACACACACACACACAGCCCCTACACACTTCCCATTCTTCATGCTACTAGTATTTTAGTATTTTTTTTGTTTTTTTGTTTGTTTGTTTTTGCAGTACTGATGGTAGAACCCAGGTTTTAGTACTTTACCAATGATGTAGATCCGCAGCCTTCTTCTGATGTATTAGCAGAACTGCAATCTCTGGTGTACAGAACTTCCATTTCACATACACTGCCCAGTGTTTGCTCTTCCTTTCCAAACCTCCAAGCCTGATACGATATCAAAGGTGAGTGTCTCCCTCAGTGTAGACAAGCCTGAATTGGTATCAGAGGTGAATGTCTTCCTCAGTGTAGACAAGCCTGAATTGGTATCAGAGGTGACTCCTCTTCCTCAGTGTAGATACTGAGCCAAAATAATAAACCTCTCAACATTTTAACAAAGCAAGGAACATCCCTGACTTTACTTCATGGAGTTCATAGAATCTATTTTTGTTAAATAGAACTTCTCTCTCTCTCTCTCTCTCTCTCTCTCTCTCTCTCTCTCTCTCTGTGTGTGTGTGTGTGTGTGTGTTTAACAAAAACAAAAGATGTGTCTGTATTCCCAGCACTTGGATGGTTAAGTTAGTTAAAGGCCAATCTATAGTACATAGCAAATTGTAGGCCAAGCTGTAGGACACAGCAAAATTCTGTCCCATCCTATCCCACCCAACAGAAGGAGAGAATCAGCATCAGCAGACACGAACAGCATGCATGCACAAGCACACACACACCTTTCATTGTCATCCTACAGGAAAAAAATAGTCTCTTGTACGCCTGGACCATTCTTTAGAAACCGCTGAGCACTTCTGTGTGGCTCCTTCTGGCAGGCATAGTTTTCTGTTCCTCAAGTGCTTTCCTCTGGGGTGTTCGAGGCAGGTGATACCTTCCTTTTGCTTGCACTGAGCAGAAAAGGTGAGAATTCTCATTTTCTTTTTGTCAACACTCTTTTATTTCACATAGTTGGCTAGTGTTAGATTTGTTAGAAACACTTGTTACCTTTTCCTGCTGGCCCTATTTGGAAGGATTTTTTTTCTTCTTTGTCATTTTTTTTCCTTTTTCCTTTCCTGTTCTTCGTCTCTCCTGGCCTGCTAGAAGAATTTTTGGTTTGAAGTTCCCTGAGGTTGTCCTGGTGGAACAGGGATGCAACCATCCATAACTGATAGTAATAGGACTGTAATAATTTCCCATTGTTCTAACATCCCTGTAATGTTTGAAAATTTAATGTTTCCTGAGTTTGCAAACAGTATTATAATGCTATTGAATGCTTTTAGCTTTTGTTTCTGACCCTGGTGGATATTGACGGATACTGAAATAAGGGTATTGGTGTTAAATATAGTTAATTCTGTTGTTTAAGCTTTTTAGTGTAAGTTGATTAGAGTGAAAATTTTAAAATACCTATCTTGTCTTTATAAAAATACTGCTTGGGCTGGGTGGTGGTGGCGCACACCTTTAATCCCAGCACTCGGGAGGCAGAGGCAGGTAAATCTCTGTGAATTCGAGGCCAACCTGGTCTACAAGAGCAAGTTTCAGGACAGGTTCCAAAGCTACAGAGAAACCCTGTCTCAAAAAACCAAAAAATAAAAAAAAAAAAATACTGCTTGGACCAGTAGATATTTGTATTGTTTTCCAAGCCTACATACATTTATAAATACTCTGAGTCTCATTTAGAGGTCTTTTACATCTGAATCTGTCTTCATTGCATATCTGTATCTGTAATCATTTTCTGACCTGGAATACCTTTCTTTTTCTTTTTTTTTTCTTTTTTCTTTTTCTTCTTTTACTAAGCAGGCAGGACTAGAACCAACTTTGCAGCCCTGCCCGTTGGCTCCGCTCCCTCCCACTTGGTGGAGGTATGTTCACCTCCTTTGTAGCCATGCTCACCACCCCAGGTTCAGGGACTCATTATGCAATTTGTATCATGCTGCTCATAAGACCCTCATTTAAGTGCAGGACCTCCAAAAAGAGCAAGAGTTCGTGCTGCCAGTACAAACCAGGAAGCCGACTCTTAAAAATGCCATGCAATTTTTGCTACTAATGCAAATGTTGCTAATGCTAAGGCTCTTAAAGGAGTCATGCCTCTGTTCGCAGCCAGCAAGCAGAGCCTATCTACACAAAATGTGGCGCTCAAGAAGCTGCACTTGACTCCCATTTCTGTGGACCTAGAAGTCCTCTTTTTTTCTTAAGCTGTTTTTCAGGTCTTTGTGGCTCCATGACCCATGTTGGGCACCATTATGTAAACAGAGATTGCTCATTTGTTTGGCAGCCGCCCAGAGCCAAATAATCTCACAGAAACTATATTAATTACAACACTGCCAATGACTCAGGCGTGTGTCTAGCTAGCTCTTACATCTTAAATTAACCCATTTCTATTAATCTGTGTATCACTTTGAGTCTGTGGACTACCGATAAGGTTCTTTCACAGTTACATGGTGTCTCTTAGACTCCATATACTCTCTATATATATCTCTGTTCAGATTTCCAGCCTGGCTTTACTCTCCAAGCCTTTGGCCCAAACTGCTTCATTCATTAGTCAATAAAAGCAACACATATAAAAGAAGGACATCCCACATCGCTGGAGCAACTGGACCAATATGCCTGTGAGTGAGGTGTGTGATAGTTAAAAAAAATAGGGAAGAGTAAGTCGGCACATTGGAAAATGAACAAACAATGGGATCCAGTGACCCAATGTTCATAATTAGTATATTGAAATTAGTTTTAGGTTTAAATAGATATAATTAAGGCAAGTATGCAAGAAGTGTGCATGATTAACTAGCCCTGATTATGGTGTAGTTGACTTTATTCTATTACGTAATCTGAAGAAGTACCTATTCCTTTAGAGAACCAATCCTGTTCCTATAATAGGATCAGCTCTAAAGGGTAGCCACATCATCACAGATGCTTGACCTCATTTGGGGGTTCAGGCTTTGCTGTTTCTTAAATGCCTGGTGACAGCAGGTTTAGGACAAAGCCAAAGCCCGGCACCTACAGCCTTGAAGAGCGATATGATAGGGGAGGTGACACACATAATCCTTGAGTATTTAACATGTTTATGCAGAATTAAGATTTAAGCAGGGATCTTATTCAAGGTGACAGACAGAGAGACAGGAAATTAGAGCAGACATGCCAGGCTTTCATCCTGCTTTTTGTTATCTTGTGGGTTCAAGTGAAGAATCAATGCCTTTCAAGCAAAAATAGTTTCAAAGTACCTGTCATATTGAACTTATCATGGAATTTTTTCCTGAGGGAATGATTTTTAAGCCAAGATTTATTAATATTTTAGGTGGACTAGAAGAAAGGGTTTTTGTTGTTGTTATTTATTTTTATTTTTAGAAAGGAAGATACAGGCAAGAGGTTTATAAGACAGGGTACGATTAGTAGAATTAGGAAAAGGAGAAGAAAATGAGCTAGGAAAGGCAGTATCCCATTCCACATTGTATCATCAGTGATCCACCAGCAAGAGGCATCAAGCTATTCCTTACATTTCTAAAGA